AAGCCATTTGGGCCAGAGCCTTTTTTTGTTGGAAGTTTTTTTATTACCTTTTCAATCTCTTCTCTTTTATGAGTCTGTTCAGATTTTCAACATCACTTTGTGTTAGTTTGGGTAGGTCGTGTGTTTCTAGAAATTCGTCCATTTCCTTTAGGTTTTCAAATTTGTTGGAATACAGTTTTTCATAATACTCTGTTATAATCCTTTATTTATTTCAGTTGAGTCTGTTGTAATGTCCCCCATTCCATTTCTTATTTGGATTATTTGCATCCTCTCCTTAAACGGAAAGTTTTAAAGAAGTCACACTGTGATTATTTTATAGCAGAAGCAGAAGTAATTTTTTTGCCCCGAATGTCTGGGCCAAAGTAGTCTCATCCATATGCTGCAGCTCAAAATTATTTAGTCTTGAGAGATAACGGCCTCAGGAATCTGAGCAAATCCAAAGCTGTTTTGTGAGAAAAAATGTGGGACAAATGTAAGCCCGCCCCAATGGAGTATAGAGGTTTTCTCCATTTTTAGAGAAAGTCAGCTCTTTCCTCTGTCCAACAAGTTGCCAACTGTGTCATCTATCAAGGGTATTTAAATTATACGGATCCCCTATGAATCAACAATCAGGTAGTCTGCAACTTAGGACATATTCTAGTTACACTGCCCATTTTTTTCTTTTTGTACATCTTATCCTTAGTAATATGTACTACTTACAGTGTTGCAGCATATGATTTGCTGTTGTTATCATTCTCAGATGTAATGTTTCCAACCTCCAAAGACAAATGATGATCGGATTTATAAAAATACTGATAATAAAAGGCAATAATAATGCACACTTTAAAAACAAATAAGACATTCAACTTACATCAGAACCAACTTATGATGGATACATTGGAATAGAACACTGTCGTAAGTTGGAGACTACCTATATATAATATGTGGCATTATTATATAGATAAGGAGCCATGGTGGTTAAGTGCTCGACTGCTAACTGTAAAGGTGAGCAGTTCAAACCCACTGGCGGCTCCACAGCATAAAGATGTGGCAGTCCCGTTTTGTACAGATTGCAGCCTTGGAAAGCCTATGGGGCAGTTGCACTCTGTCCTACAGGGTCGCTATGAGTCTGAATCGACTTGATGGCAATGGGTTTGTTTTGGGTTTTGTTTTGGTTATTATATAGAATGGCATTATTAACTTAAAATTTTCTCACCTCACTCAAATGTCTGGATTAAAAGACAAGTACACTTTAAGATGGGAAGGCAGAGAGAGTTAGGAGCTGGTTGAATGTTCATGGGGAATCAGGGGCGGAGGGGAGGAGTGTGCTGTTGCAGAATGGGGTGAGCAGCTGGGGTCTCATAACAATGTATGTAAAAAAAAATTTGTATGGGTGACTAACTTGAAATGTAAACTTCTTTTAATTACAACAATAAAAATATATAAATAAAAGACAAGTACACTTTAATCTACATGCCTTGATTAACAGCTATAGTCAGACAAGGTATATGGACGAAAGAGAATGCTTGCAATTCAGTATTCTACATTTCTTAAACTTTAACTTCCATCAAGTCAAATCCATAGAAAGTTACATATCTGAGTTCTTTCCACATTATTTCATTCTCCTTGTTAGTGGTTTAGAATTTTTATTGTGTATAATCAGTTTTCTAAAATAAATCAAATATAGTATTGTCAAAAATTAGGTATTTAGCAAAGGGGGTATTTTGTTGTGTTGCTTTGGTTTGGGTTTAGGTTTGGGCTTTATGATGGTGGCGTTGGTTATCATGGTAATACCACAGAATCATCATGTTTCCTGCCATTAGAATTTTGCACCCAGTTTACATTTAGTCTATAGCAACAGACCTGCAATTCAGAAAACAGGCTGAGGTGTTAATCTATTTTGTAAAATGTTATAGAACCAAATGCTGTTAAGTCTATTACAGTATGCTAGCAACAGTCAGAATTATATAATTGATCATCATAATTGACTACTGGAATTGCAATGGTTCCAACAACTTTGTAATATAACTTAAGAATCAGTCTGTATTAATAGATTAATCGTAACAGAATTAAAATACAGAGTTACTATTGAAACATCAGCAATTTAAATTTATACATGTAAAAACATTAAATGGTCTCTCTCCCATCAGCCTAGACCATAAAAACAGGCCAAATCAAGATTTCAACTATTAAAATTGTTTTTAAAAAACAAAAATCATCCAGAGTGGCCCCAGATCTGGTGAATGTAACATCCTAAAACTGGACGACACTACCCTCCTCCCCCAGTGGCTGACTGCTTAGCCTGGAATATACAACCACGGACAACAGGCCTCCTACCCGTTGCTGTCAAGTTGATTCAAACTCATAACAACCCTATAGGACAGGGTAGAACTGCCCCCACTAGGTGTCCAAGGAACAACAGGTAGATTTGAACTGCCGGCCTTTTGATTAGCAGCGTAGGCCCAAATAAAATGTGGTTTTCTGAAAAGAGCATGGGTGGGTTTTGGAGTCAGAAACTCTGTCATTTGTTGGCTGGGTGATTTCAGGTGTTTCTCTCAGACTCACAGGATATCAGTGTGAAGGTTATTGCAGATTAAATGAGTTTGTGCTCTAAAGAACCTAGTATGGAGTCTTATAGCTCTTACACACTCAATAAAAGAGAGTTTTATTATTCTTTCTTCTTGCTCATCACTGTGGCTTATCAAATTCCATTCACTGGCTAACTGTTCTTAGCACCGAAAATCTCCTGATTTTACTAACTTCAACAACTCAACTTCTTTGAATCACCCTTCATTTGTTTCAAGGCCCCTCTTTTTAAATAAATACAGGGGTTCTCTCATTTTAAATTATCAAATATTTTTTGCCTCTGCTGTGAAAGAGTCTCAGCCTCAAGAGTTACAAAGACAAATGAGACACAACCTCTGGCCTCAAAATCTCTGGAAAATTAGAAATTATTCCAGAGCCAAGATATAGTGAGTTACTCTCCAGCATCCTATCTAAGTTTTAGGTTCTCAAAATGTCCTTAAATCTGCTCAGCCTCTTGATGTCCTCTTCCTTTCCTCTGGCCTCTCTAGGGTTCTAATTCTTTGTTATGACACAGATTCCAGAACCTACATAGGCCATACTCCCTTGGTCTGCTTAGTTCTGATCAGTCTGAGCTACACAATTTCTCAGTGACTCTCTGTATTCTTGTCTACAAGGGCCTCGCTCACACACAAGTTCATACTGCCGGAAACAGTGAACTTAAGTTGATCATTTTATCTTTAACTCTCTGACAAAGAAGTCCAGATGACACAGAACTCACTGAAGACAATTGGAAAATGGCACTGAAGACAACTGGAAAATGGCAGTCTTGGGTATGAACAAATTCCCTCTCTGAGGCTTCCTTGTCCTTATTTGTTCAGGTGTCTTCCCTTCATGGACTTTAACATAACTGCTTTATCTTTCTTGCCTTCTTTATTTTCCAATTCAATATCCTTTCTCTCACTCTCACTGATTATTCTGAGAGCCTGGGGAAAAAACCCACAGTCAATGGAACTTTTGAGTGAGAGTAATGATTTCTCCTTTGGTTTCCAAAGTTTGAACTTATCAAATAAAATAATGATCCTCCATAGTACTATAGGATCACTAAGAGTCGGAACCAACTCGATGGCACCTAACAACAACAATAGTACTATGAAAATTTCTCACCCCTTTATCTCCCTTTCTGTAGTATTGTTCACTTTATAATCTGCCTCAACTCTGAGAAATAATGACTTGCTCATATTTTACTCATCAATTGAGTGGATCATTTTTTAGCTGCCCTATAGCCAGAGCTTTTCAGACACTACCTAAAGGGGAGTGCTGCTTGCCATAAACTTGATCCTAGTACATCACTTGGTTTTTCCTGCCTCTGCTAATAGTTATTTCACACCCAGTTGCAAAATTCTGACTCACATGCCAGGGGGCAGGCTATTTAAGGTTCATTTTAGTGGTGCATTAGGAGTAAATCTCTGAAAGTTGATTTGGCCATGGGAGAATTTTCTCACATGACCCAACGCCTAAAAGACTCAGTAGACATGTGCCTAATTTAACTCAGTTGGAGGTGTGTTACTGCATCCTGAGGTAGATTTATCTATTACTTTTTTTTTTCTTTTTTTTTTTTTTTGCAGTAGCCTTAATCCTGGTACAATTTTCTTAGCTCTTCAGAGTTCAATTTTCTTCAGCATTTTGTACTATCACAAGTAAATGTATGGCTCTTTCCTTCCTTCCTTCCTTCTTCCAAAAGCCTTTATAACCTTTGTTCTTCATGACCATAGAAAGGTATCTAATTAATATTTTCTCTCCTACAACACAGAAACAAACACAGGTTGGGTAGTCCTGGCACGCTTTGGTTCCGTTAACCACAGTAACAAACTTCACAAGTATCCATCTTACCATGAGGGGCTGGCTCAAGTGTGATGACTGACAGGTCTTTCTAAGTGATAGGACATTTCTGACCACTGTTGTGGCTCTCATTAATATGACCATCTTGAATCAACATTCTTCAGTCAGGGGACTCTGAAGTTTTTTGATTGCTCATCCATGTAAAACATTTTGAGCATGATTTCTCTATATATGTATATTTATAAATTTTTTGAATGTACTACTGTATTAACCATGTATATTTTAAAACAGAAAATCTGGAAATTTTAAAGACATTAGATTAAAAATAAAAGTCCTAATATGGATTGCTTTGCAGACCACTGATTCCCTCTAATCTTCTCCTGCCTGGAGAGTAAGGATTTCAACTGAAGAGGAAATTGGTCAGTTTTCCAACTCTAAACAAGAGTACACAACATCTGAGTATCTGACCAAAAGGACCACTATAAGAACTAAGAAATAGGCAAGGGAAGGATTGGGACAGTAAGATGAAGAAGTTAAAGGAAGAAAGGAGTTGACGTGGGGAAAAGGGAAAAAAAGTCTATCTGGTAAAGAGTAAGAGGTGACCAGAAGTTGTCTCTGATAATGACTCCATCTGCATAAACAGGCTTACAGGTGAGCTTTTCTTTCAGAAATAACTTTGGCTGTCATCCTGACTCTACTGGGACTTGCTATTCTGATCATTTTACTAGCAAGATGGACACGACGCAAGCAAAATGGTGAGTGAAATGAGTCAAAATGGAAATTCCCTGGGAAAGTCACAGAGGGAGGGATGTCAAGATTCAGTCTGAATTTGTCTCTTCTTATGAGATATCTAGAGACTTTAGCAATATTCTGGAAATCTGTTTCAAAGCAGGAGTCAAAGAATATCTGACCTATTAGTGATTCCCTTTGCACTTGTAAATTCCCAAAGCTCACATTGCCAATAACACCAACCAAGAAAAAGAAAAAAAAGCACAGATTGATAATAAGAAGAATACTTTAAAAAGAAAATTATCTGAGTTACAAGAGAAATTACCAAAGTAACAAATGAAAGAGAGATGACATAAGCTAGTAGACATGAATAGTTAGTTTCATATGGAAAAAACTGGAGAATGTTAGTGACTTAATAGGAAGAGATTATAAGAAGAGACAAATACAAAGTAATGTTGGTCAATAAACAGAGATTGGAATCATAAAAGCAATGATCTATTTCTACGCCATAAGGTCTCTCTGTCCAGGATTTTTCTCAGTATCTCTCCCACTCCTTTCCAGTCAGCTGAATCCCCTGCCTATTTCTCAACCTCAGTGCCTGTCAACCCTCAGAGAATAAGTTGTGTGAGAGGATAGATAGAATTGGGATGGGTGGAGGTGCCAGAGGTGGGAACCAGTAATGCCTTTTATCAAGAGGGCCACCTTGGGAGCAAAGAAGAGCAGTTTAGGGTGAGGAGAGTTGGCCCAGGGAAAAGAACTCCTTTCACAAGTAGCTCATAGGAATATTTTTGCTTAATTTTTCCACAGACATTGAAGTCTCAAGATACAGTTCAGAACAAAGTAAGTATGAGAAAAAGAAAGATAAGCATTTATGTCATTTCTATTAAGCAGGGACCAAATCTGTCTTATTTACCATTATAGTTCCAGCACCTTGCATAGTGCATCATTGCATGAACTAAACTTCTAAGTTACTGGGAGAAATCCACCAGAGGTTTCTGAGACACACTGAGTACAAAACTGAAGGTGGGAAGAGTGAATTAGTAGTAGGTGAGTCTGCATGATTCTGAGGCTCCCTTCAGAGACCTTCTGAGCAGCAACAGAGACACCAAGGTGACAAAAGGAAATAAGAGATTACTCAGCATGGAGCAGATGGTTCAACAGAAGGTCTAAGTCAGGTGGTGAAGCCCTCAGTCAGATAGCTGGACAGAGTTCAGGCTGGATAGAAGAGTCTAAATGTAGCCAGGAATAATGAGAGTGAACACAGTTAAGGTGATTAGGACTGAAAAGAAAAGTACCAAGTTCAAGATCTGAAGAGGTGAAGCAGGAGAGTTTCAGAGAGATTTCAAGGTTGCTAAGAAAAATAGCTCAGGATTGGTAAGAGAGGATAAACAGGAGCTAGGTGCTGAAATACCAAGAGGGAAAAACAACTCTGAGAACCCCCTCTGACTATCATTTAGCCTGGCTAATATTATGAAACTGGTGACCAGCGTGGTCAGTTACCACTGCTACTTACGCATATTCCCTAGTCTCTTCCCTGTGAAGTAAATTACGTCACATAATCATTCACCATTCAGAGTCCATGTCTACATTAGCTCTCAGAGTCTTAAATAAAGCTTCACTAATATACAAGAAGCAAAATCATGGAGCTCTCCTTTTTTTTTCCAGGTGGTCTTCTAGAATATGAGGATGGTAGAGGTAAGTAGATTAGAAACTTCCAGAGAATGAAAGGATGAATGTGGTCTTTAGAAAACAAAATGGTCTCATCTTCCTTATAGCATGATTTGTTAGGTCAGTACATCTTTCGTTATTACAATATCCAACTGCCTATTCATCTCTCTATGCATATATATATGTAGGCTTCCCTGGGTAACACAGACAGTTAAGCACTTGACTACTAGCTGAAAGACTGGCAGTTCAAACCCACCCAGAGGTGCCTCAAAAGAAAGGCCTGGCAATCTGCTTCCAAAAGGTCATAGCCTTGAAAACCCTATGGAGCAGTTTTACTCTGCGCATATGAATCAGGATCGCCATGAATCAGAATCAACTCTATGGCAACTAACAATAATAACATGCATATATATACACACTAAAGAATTGTGCATTTTTTTCTCAGAAAAGGCAAATATATTCCCTCTCTAAGATTATAAAAGAATTCATTTCCAGCTTGCATGCTTACCCCGAGATCTCAGAAAGGTTAAGAGACCTCTCTGACACAATTTCCTGGGTATGTAAAATTGGGATATAATACATAATTCACAGATTGTTATGAAGATTAAATGAGATATTTTACGTGAAAAGATACTTTGTAAGCTATAAAATACAATAGGTGAGCAGAACTTATATTATTATCCCCATTTTAGAAAATGAAATTAATGCTCAAAAAGGTTAAGAGACTTACCCAAGTTCATCTAGTTAGTGAAGGTTGTCTTTGTTAGCTGCCGTTGAGTTAGCAACCTGTGGCATCCACACATATAATAAGACCAAACTGTTGTGATACATAGGGTTTTCACTGGCTGATTTTCAGAAGTAGATTGTCAGGCTTTCCTTCTTAGTCTGTCTTAGTATAGAAGCTCCGCTGAATCTGATTCATCATCACAGCAACACGTAAATCTCCACTGACAGACAATGGTGGCTGTGCTTGAGGTGCATTGGCCAGGAATCCAACCCAGGTATCCTACATGGAAAGTGAGAGTTCTACCACTGAACCACCACTGCCCTCGGTTAGTAAAAGAGATGGATACTAAACCCAAATTTTCTGACTCTGAGTATAGTACTCATATTCTTACAACATACTACCCTCCACTTAGTTTATGACTAAAAAGACTCATTTTAGACTAAACTTCAGTCCATTATTGATAGAGCTATGCCTTGTACCCCAAGTCTAGGCATGTGGTCTGACATAAATAGGCATACTTATAGGAATAATGATAAAGCTTATTTGAAATAAAACTTCCCCAGATAGCTAATGATTGTGAGGAGTTTCCAAGGCACTGTGCTACTTTTTGTAGGGACACACACTGCTCTTATTTTGATGTACCATGGCTGTTCTTAAACTCCACACCCAATCCCCCATTGTTCTCTCTCATCTGCTCACCAGAGCTGGTTACTGACCGGCCCTACCTTCAGAAGGCATCAAGAGCCACTACAACTGCTAGTTCTTCTGCTAGAAGTCATTAAGGTTGTCCAGACTAGGTCCACAGCCAAACCAGGACTATGGAGTTATGCAGTTGTAGATGTGGACGCAATCTCATACACACACACACACACACACAAACACACACACTTGCACATGCATGATACAAGAATATAGTTTCATATAACCAAGAGTTGAGGAAAGAAAAGGGGAGGTAGCTTGGTCCCTCTGCTTACTGTCCATGTCCCACACTTGGGCTGTTAGTCCTTTCCTCCCCTCCTTTCCTCTATGATTCATTTGCTATGATCAACAAGAGGAGCAAAGGAGCATTGCACCCCCTATCTCTTTCTTTCTGAAATGGAACCCAAAGCAAATGGGAACATTTGAGGAAAGTAGCAAAATCTCTTAGTCGTTGCTTACTTAGTAGGTGATGAAACTTAACTTCTTAATAAGCTGTTGGAAACCTGACTGTTTTTTTCTTTTTTTTTTTCCCAAAAGCTTTTCCCTCTCAGAAATCTAAGAGAGGAAGAGGTAAGCAGATGTCCATCTAATCAGAAAATAACATAGATATAAGATGCCCAGGTAGACTTATATTATGTTTTCATCTTCTCCTTTAGGATTCCGACATGCATATTCAACAGAGAGTGGTAAATAAATTAGATACTGTATTTCTAAGAAATTAGTACAGAAAATGTTTATGAGAAATTAAGAATCTCATTTTTTTCTTCAATCTTCTAGACACTTCATATGATGATCGAGGTAAGTATACTTACAGACTATAGTGAAATTAAAGGAAAATCAATATTTCTTTATGCCATAACTTGAGAGACTATAAAACCTGCCATGGTAAAGAGACAAGAAATCAAAGTAGTATATAGAAGATCTAGAGAAATGGTCAGAAACTTTCACCTTCCCATATGAGGCACCTTCTTCCTCACTACTATCCAATTTCTCTTCCATTCACTTTCCAATCAGTTAAAAAATGTAACCTTTAATAGTCCTCAACAGAAATTCAACATCCCAGGCCTCAGAAATGGTAACCACTTAGTGTGCCTTTCTTAATCTAAATGTTAAGAAATGGAGAAATAAATTCCTGAAAATTACATTAGGGTATGGCTCGCGCAATGAAATGTCAAAGGCACAGATAAGTGCTGCTATTGTCTACCGTTGTCATTTACATCTTGTGTTTCTTGGGAAATAAACCTCCTCAGTAACAGTTAATCATTGGAACACCACATTTAACCAATGCAAGAAGTTTCTTCAATGCGAGGCATTTAAAGGCACACAGATAAGCAAAATCAAACTACACATAGTAGAAGAGGGAGAAAATTAACATGCACTCAGCACCTGCTATGTAATAGTCACTCCGATGGGCATTTTTCGTGTTATTCTACTTAATATCCTTAACATCCTACAAACCACCCTGTTAACTACTCAAGGATGAACTACCCAAAAATCCCTCCCTGGCTGTCCAAGACCTCTACTGGCCTACCGGTTGCCCCTTCCTCCGGGTGAATACAGCCCCATGTCAGGGACACTTTTGGAGACTTCAATCCCCACACCCTTTTGTGCAGTAAACAACTTACACAGCCATAATGCATTGACCCTTCAGATGAATAAGTGGCATCTCACTCTTACCATATTCAAAACCCAAGTCCTGATCCCTCCTACGCACAGGTAGTGGCACCTACATTCACCTCGTTGCTCAGGCCATCTACTTTGGAGTCATCTTTAACTCCTTCTTTCTCTCACTGTCTTCATTCAAGCCATCAGTAAATCTTATCACTGACACTTTCAAATTATATTCCAAAACAGGCCACTCTTCACCACTCCCACCATCACAGTCGTAGCCCAAACACCAACATCTCTTGCCTGAACTACTGCAATTGCCTCCTAGCTGGTCTCCTGATTTTTTTACTCTATTCCTTTTATAGTCTATTCTCCTCAATAGAGTCAGGGTGATCCTTCATAAGTAGTTCTTAAGTCAATCAATCATTTTACTATATATTGTCATTCCTGATTTAGAGAAGAGAAAACTTCTGCATAAAAATGTAAGTGACTTGCCTAACCTGGACATGAACTTAAAATTGTCTGACTCCAAATGTCATGTAGTTACTTTATTCTTACACAACTTAGTAGCATCTTAAATATTACTTTTCTGGTTATAGATCTTTAGTGTACAGTCTGCAAGCTTAGCGTCTTTCTATTCTAGGCTCCTCTTACATTCTTAGGGAAAAACTTGAATCAGTAAATACTTTATTGTTGTCTGGATAAGCCATAATTTAAAATTTATAAAGCCACATGGCAGCTTATAGCTCTGAGTTTACAATCATCTCTAAGAGTGCCTTATAATTCTCAATCATCCTAAGCTTCTAAGTTCCCAAGCTCTACTGATCTTTCCCTCCATCCTTTCTGGACGTAAAAATCTAAATTTTCTGCTCAACCTGAGGCTATGGAGATCCTCTGACAGGAAAGTACTAGATAATGTCTTTTTGTTGGTTTAGGTACATAAAATTTAGGTACTTAAAGCATAGTTTAATTTAAATATATCATATTATAAAGTTGCAGTGATAATTAATTTAAAAAAACTGAAATTCACTGAATTTATTTTTAATATTATTTTTATAACAATGTAAGTACAAAGTGTATAACAAAAGTGTTCAGCATCTCAGTATTTTCCATTTTTAAAATACCCACGAATCATTAGAAACACATTACTGTGTTCTAGGGTAAAAATTACCACAAAGTTTAGTAAAGCAAAAAGAAAGGTATTATTCTGCATACGTTCAAAGAGGCAAAAGTAGGAAACGGGCGAGCATGCTGCCAGAGTCATGTCTGTCCGAGTCCAAGGAATATTATAGATTCATCAATACGTATTAACATTACAAATGGACAAAACCATTGAAAGCTTCACCTTTTCAGATTGGCTAAAAACTGCTAAATCGCTGTGATTATACATTTTGAATTGTCTTTCTTAATAATCATTGGTACAGGTTTCAGTAATGACAGGAGGGTCTTCACTGGTCCAACAATTCTTTACTATTCACTAAATGCTAATAGAAAAAGAGTGGAGAGTATGTGAGTCTTTTGGAGAGTATGTGAGTCTTTTGTGCTATTTATGATTTGTTTATGTGGCAGACTCGCTAAAAGATGTTTTCCAAGACTGTCCTAGCTATTGTCTTTATACCTCAGGGCCCAGTTGATGTGTCCTGTGAGTCCTTGTGAGTCTAGCTCCAGTGGGTCACATTCTAGGACAGGAAATAATGACTCCAATCTTATCTCTTAAATCAAGTGTAAAACAGAGAAGGTGTTATGTGTTTTTGGGCTTAATTTCCAACACAATGACAACCAAGTATAGAAAAACACTCATTTTCAGAAAAGAAACTGAGAAAAAAATACATGTTGTCTTTACATTTCTGGGTAGATAATTATATTTTAGTAAAATATCAAATTATATTGCCATGCAATGTTAATTTAAATCAACTACAGAGTGTCAGTATTTATTTTCACTCTTTCATGAAAACAGTAGTGATAACATGACTAAAAAAAAAAAAAAAACAAACCAAACCCATTGCCGTTGAGTCGATTCTGACTCATAGCAACCCTATAGGACAGAGTAGAAATAGAACTGCCCTATAGGGTTTCCAAGGAGCAGCTAGTGGATTTGAACTGCTACCTTTTGGTTAGCAGCCAAACACTTAACCACTACACCACCAGGGCTCCGTAACATGACTAGTTTTTGTATAATTTGCTTGGTCCATCTCTAGATCTTTTAGAAAATCTGTTTCCATTACATCACAGAGAAATTAGTTTTAGGTCATAGGATGCACATCCAATCACAATAAAGATAAGCATATTTACCCATTATCATTTTCTATATCTTCATTGAACTTGAATTCTCAATCAGCTGAGGAAACATTTTACCATTCCTTTTCTTATTTGGCCTCGACTTATTTTATAGCTAATATATTCGTTTCAATATTTCCACGTGCGGTTTATTATTTCTTCTCATTATACATATTTACCTTAGTTAATCTTTACCTGCTTTTTTATGACATGTAACTCACACACTAAACCACAAGAAGATTTTGCCTCCAGTTTCTTGCATGTTTGGATATTTGAGGCTCTTGACTGGGTAATCTTCTGTAATGATACTCAATCTACAGAAACAGAAAAGCCGAACTGATTTTTCTTCATTTTGTTTGTGTGTTTTCAGAGGGATCCAAAGGAGATTTCAGTAAGTATTCTCTTGTTTTTCAACAAAAACCTGCTTCGAATTCATAACATTTCCCTAGATGGGAAATGCTTTGAGGAAAGGGAAATCCTATCTGTTCATATGAAGATTAAACAATAGATAAAGTCTTCAAGTGTGGGTTTAGAATGGTCTGTCAGCAACAACCAAGGTTCCAAACTTCTGTAAGGAAAGGAAAGGATTGAGGAAAGGATGAGTGAGAGAGAAGGAAAGTGAGAGACATAAAGGGCAGTGAAAAAAGAAAAAAAAAGAGAAGGAAGGCAGGGAGGGAGAAATGAAAATAGGGAAAAAATGGAGTCCACAAAGTTTTATCTTTGTACTGAAAGGTTTCAATCCTTTATAGAGATTAGAAGGAAAAGAGACAGCGGGTGAGAGTGGCCTCCAGGACCCATCGCCAGGTCAACAGGCCTTCCTGAGCCTGGGCTGTAACTCCCGAAAAGGGTTCATAATGATTGAAATTGATATGCTAAATTGGGGATCCAAATTCTGTTGATTCACCTCATGTTTCTCTTGTGTGCGTGTGTGTGTGTGTGTGTGTGTGTGTGTGTGTGTTTTAGCACCATCAGCCAACTCTCTGGGTAAGTCCTTTGCAATTTTCTTTCAATTCTGCTGCCATCCTGTTTATAAGTCCTATCCTTTCTGTATTTATTTTTCTTTTAAATAATTTTTAAAATGAAGTATGAAAATAATTAACACTTGTAAATCCACCCCTTAGACTTAACAATTGATTATATTTTGTCATATTTCTTAAATTACAGAAATGTTGGAATTCCTTTTGTCCCCATCCTACTCTCATTTCATTCCCTTGTTCTCAAAGAATTATAAATTTATTATAAATCTTCTAATCTATTTCCATACGTTTATATAATTAGTACTTATCACTGAACAATATATAGTATTGTTTTGCATATGTTATTTTTAAAAATTTACCAAAATGGCATCATTTTGACGATATCATTATAACTTGCTTTTCCCCCTAAACATTACGATTTTGAGCTATATAGAAATCCAAGTCATTCCTTTAAATTACTCAATAATATTCAAATTTATGAATTACGATTTTTTTTCTACTTATTCTCTTACTGATGCCTTCTTAATGTTTCCAATTTCTGCTATCACAAATAATGCTGCAAAGAATATCTTTAAGTACATGGAAAACAATTTTTTCAGAGTAGTTGAGGTGGAATTAGTAACTTACATTGTGTGTGAACATTTTTGTAATTTATGCACGTTTTCAATTTTTCTATCTATTGCCTAATTTCACTCCATGGTAGTCACACAGAAAATACATCAACATGTATGAGTGTCCCATTTCTCTGCATCACTAATAATCCCAGATTTTGTCATAATTTCACATTTTTGCCACTTGGAAAGTGTAAAATTTCATTAATTGGCATTCCCCTCTCACTCCTGAAATTGAGTATCTTCTCCTATGTTTACCAGCAATTAGCAATTTAGGCTTCACTTTATACAAATTGGAAACCCTGGTGGTGTAATGATTAAGTGC